AAGCAGGGGGGTAGTGTCGTGTGGGATCATTTTGAGGTGGCAGATGATCCCAAGTATGCTATCTGCCAGCACTGTCAAAGGCAGATCAGCTGGGGCAAGGAGGTGAAGCACTTCACCACCAAAGTGATGCTGCTGCATCTCAGGAGGCAGTATCCCCTTGCCCTTTGTTCCTCCTCAGCCTGGCACCAGTGGGAGCATACCCAAAGGGAAGTCCCCCTCTTGCTGCAATGCCCCCATTCCCCCAAAGCAGAGGCAGGCCACCCTGGACTGGTGGGGGAAAGCTTCAGACAAAGCAGGGTGTATTGCAAGGTCAAGCGAGGTCACCCAGACCACTGGGGAGATACTTGCTCTGGATGGCCAGCCTTCCTCCTTCGTTGAGTGGCCAGGGTTCAGGCACTCATGGCCCCATCCTTCCAAGTGCCCACATGCACCACCTTTAGCAGGATGGTGGTGCTCTCCCTGTATGAGGCATGCACAGAGTACTTGAGGGAGGAGCTGCACAAGGCAGGTCCACAGGTAGCCTCACACTTCACCTTGGACATCTGGAGCAGCCAGGGTGGAGATCATGCCTACCTCTCCCTCACAGGGTACTGATGCAATCAGTCAGGCCATGGGTGGGCTCTCCTTCAAGCTGGGGTGATGAATGACTCCCAAAATGAGATCATGGTGGCCATGAACTGCATGGTGCAGGGGTGGCTCATTGGGCAGGGTGAGCTCACCCATGGAGTCATGGTCACCGACAATGGGGCCAATATGGTCAAGGTGGTCCATAATGCCAACTTTCTTGGCATCCGCTGTGTGGCACACAAGCTGCATAATATAGTCAGGGATGCCTTGGAGGTGGGCAGGGCTCCCAGTGAGGGTGCCATTAGTACCACCCAGCTGATTTCAAAATGCAGGAAGGTGGTGGGCTACTTCCACAACAGCATCAAGGTGGGCAAGATGCTGCAAGACAGACAGGCAGAGCTGAACATCCTGCAGCACAAAACCATGCAGGTTTTGGAGACTCGGTGGAACTCCACATACCTGATGCTGGAAAAGCTGGTGGAGCAGCAGAAGGTCATGCATGAGATGGCTTTGCTCAGGAAGCTTGGGATCAGTGCCCCCCTTAACAAAGTGGAATGAGATGCCATCTGCCATATATTGGTGGTCCTCAAGCCATTCCTTGAGGCCACTGAGACCCTCATCACTGGTGATGCCCTCCTTAGCCAGGTGATCCCTGTAGTCAAGGAGCTTGAGAACCAAATGAAGAAGTTCCAAGGGATTGATGTTCCTGGCTGGGGCAAGTTGCTTTCACCAGAGATGTAGCCACTGGGGAAGCAGCTGAAGAAGGGCATCAAAAAATGGCTGGCTCCCTTGCAGTCCAGTACAGTCCACGTGCTGGTGGGCATGTGCAACCTGAGGGCGAAGGGGAGCATGTGCAACACCAAAACACTTGATCACTGGATGGAGATGCTGGTGAACAGTGTCAGGAAGGCAGAAGGGTGGAGGCAAGGGGATGTGGAAGAGGGAGATCCACTTTTCCATGCCAGCACTCCCAGCACCAGCCAGTCTCCTCCATGCCAGCCACTGCCAATGTGGGCCAAGGGAATGGCTTCAATGTTGGGGTCCAGAGACACCAGACCCCAGCCTCAGGCAGGTAGCACCAAGGATTCAGTGGCTACCTATCTCATCAAGGACATGGAGAGACTGGATTGTGACCCCTTGGCCTATTGAGCAAGCCGCAGCCAGATGTAACAGAATCTAGCCACGGTTGCCCAGGAACACCTGTCCTGTCACCGAACAGTGTTCCAAGTGAGAGGTTTTTCAGCTTTGTTGGGGATGTTGTGACACCCCACTGCACCTCCCTGAATCCTGGTTTGGTGGAGCAGCTGGTGTTCCTGAAGGTGAACTTCCCACTGCTGGGGTTTCCCAAGCTCCACCTACAAACGGAGTGCGTGCCACCCTCCACACTCCATCCGCACCTATTTCCTTTTTTTTTTTTTAACCGTTTAATGTCCCACTCTCAGAGCTCACCAACCAGCAGGTGAAGAACATATCCCTGCTGAGCTCCTGTGCCAGGATGAACTTGGAGGTATGAGATGGGGCTATGGGGAGGGAGGAGGCCCCAGGTCCCAAGCATGACCTAAAACTGCGCCCTGCCAGTTGCAAGGCCTGGTGGGACTGCCAGCAATGCAGCAGCCCCAGGAAATGCCAGGACTGAGGATCTCCCTGGTGAAAGGCAGGTAGGAGGTACCTTATTATCTCTAGCCACCACATGTATGCACAGTCCTGGATGGGGAAAGCCCAGACCTGTAAGATCTTTGAAGGCTTGAGGTTTGCTGGTTGCAGTGGACTTGTGAGGCTCCAGGTGAGCTTAGCTGCCTGGGATGCTATTTTCAAGGCATGGACTTTCAGATTTAAAACCCTTCGTCAGGCTGAGGAAACATCTAGTGGCTGTGTGTGTGCTCTTCCTGGATGGAAGGAATAGCAAAGAAGCCAGAGGCTGGCATGCATACAAACAAAGCCAGTCAATAAAAATGGAAATGGAGGCATCGGGTGGTGAGAGACAGGCTAGGATAGTGGAGAAGGGGAATGTAGCAGGTAAAAGTGGAGAGGTACCTGGGGAATCAGATGCCAGGCAGGTTGTAGTGTGTCAAAAATCCAATGTCTATATTGAGTCCATGAGTTTCTGCATCTAGGAGACTGATACAGTGAAGTTCATAGGCCTGTCTGTGAAAAGTGGTTTGTAAATTCCCTTTGAGGATCAGGACTGAGAGACTGGAGACAGAGTAGTTTTCTTGTGAGAAATGTGCCCCTACAGGTAGTTGGGTATTCTTGTCTGTAATAGATTCTGGTGTGCAGTTTGTGGGGGTACTGGAGATATGTTGGCAGGTTTTGCATTTCTTGTCATGGCATGGTCTGGATCCATTTGGTGTGTTTGGGGCTGTAGAAAGTTGGCTCCTAGTAATGAGGTTAGCGAGGTTCAGTGCTTGTTTGAATTTGAAAACCACGTTTCAGAGGGGCCTATGAACTTCACTTCATCAACCTCCTAGATACAGAAAATCCTGGATTCAATACAAACATTGTATTTATGACACACTACAACCTGCTTGACATCTGACTCCCCAGGTACCTCTCCACTTTTACCTGCTATATCCCCCTTCCCTCCTACCCTAGCCTGTGTCTCACCCCCTGATGCCTCCATTTCCATTTTCACTGACTGGCTTTCTTGCCTGCATTGCATACCAGCCTATGGCTTCTTTACTATTCCTTCCATCCAGGAAGAGCTAGATTCTTCCTTAGCCTGACGAAGGATTTTTAAACCTGAAAGCCTGCAAAGAAGAATTTCTCCAATTATTCCGTTGGTCTAATAAAAGATATCAGATTGACCCTAAGAAGCTTTTCTGGGCTATGTCTTTAGACCAACAGATACAACCTACACCCCTTAACACACACAAGTGACACGAGTTTGCTTTCAGAAGTTTAAGGAGCAGTTTCACAGAAACCCCTGCACCACTCTGCCTGAAACCCGGCAGGCCTCCCTCATGCCCACACAAGGAGCTATGTATATGGCAGGACAGGACAGCCATTTAATGGTCTGCTCTCAGAGCTGGAAGTGGCAGTTTAGTTTTTCACCAGTCAGCAGGGGAAGAACATTTCCCTGCTGAGCTCCTGTGCCAGGAAGAACTTGGAGGTATAAGGGCTAGGGCTAGAGCTATATGCGGAAGAGGAAGTGCAATTTCCCAGAAGCCACCTATCCCCTTGAAACCTGTCAGGCTTCGTGGTCTCAGCAGGGACTACCATCCCTGCAGGTTTCATTCTGCTGTGCCTTAACACACACACAAAGTCATACATCACAAGTTTTGCTTGTCAGCACCTTGAGGTGAATTATCCCAGACACCCCTGCACCTATGTAGTTGAAACTTACCAGGCTTCATGCCCTCAGAATGGGCTACCATCTCTGCTGTTTTCATACAAATCTGCAAAAAAATGACAAAGTTATAGGTATTTCAGTGATTCCCCCATTATAGTCTATGGCCGAATCTCCAAATCGCTCCAAATCAGCACTGAATCTTCCTAAGCTGATTCGGCCAAATCAATTTGAGACAGTGATCCAAATCTCTGAATCAAATCACTGTCCTCTGAATGGGCTGAATCTGAATCAAATACTTCCCTATTTGCGCAGTCCTAATGTTAATTCAATTTCCCCAGGAATACAGTGGATTAGCAAAATGAACACGGGGCAACTACAGCTATATTTACTTCAGGGTAGAGGAGGTGGTTAGCCTTCTTAGTCTGAAGTCAGGCAGAAAGTAGGGCAGGTTGACACAACAGAGTAATTAGTTCAAATAATGGGTTCATTCATAGCATCTGATGAAGTAGGCTGTTGCCTGCAAAAGCTCATGACTGAAGTCTTAAGGTGCCACCTTGCCCTACCTTTTTCAAGTTATAAGAAAATTCTGTTCTCCTTCATAACTTCCAGAATTATTTGTTTTGAGCTACTAATTTTAAATGTATATTAAAAATGTGAAGTTTCCATAAATAAAATGTTAATTAGCAAACAGAATCAGTTAATAGTGAGCTCACTGGCATTCCTTCAAAGCGTCCAGCTTTTCCTAGTCATAGGAGGCATACAGTAGTGTAAAATACAATAAAAAATCCCTCAGGTTGCATAAAATATCAGACTCTTTAAAGTAAAATATGGGAAAAGCCTTTGACTGCAAGAGAAAAAAATGTAATGACATCAGGTGCTACATAGGTTAAAAAAATTGCCATTTGGGTTTTTAAATTATAATCCATTTAAAAACATTCATTTATCTTTGCAACATTAAAAAACACGTGACTTATTTTTTACTGTAATAAACGTAGCAGCATTAATAATGTTTTATTTTTAATTGATTTTTTTAGGAAGGGGGAAAGCAGAATGATATATGAATAAGAAAACTGAAAACTTAAGTGATGTGTTTGTGTTTGAGCATGATAGGAAAACAAATTACAAATTGGCTTTTCACCTGCAGGTAATTATGACACTCAAGACATCTCAAAATCTCAAAAGATCCCAAACTCAGTGTCCACTGTTTTTAATTATAAAGGAAATTCTGCGGAAACTTATGTGGGTATGACTTCTTTTTCTGCCATCTATCTGATAGAGTTCCTATCAACTGAGAGAGACACACACATTACAGTGTACCTAACATCTGACATAACATCTGGGCATCTTTACCCAGAACTCCCAATGGATCCACTTATAGATGTGGTTGGTATTGGACATACAGTTGTGACTCTAGCTTGGAAACATAGCCCATCAGTACTGCAGCATAAAGAAAACATCCAGTATTGTATTCTAGTTAATGAAAAGCACAACTACAAGAGCTTATGTGTGGCAGAGACAGCTATCAGATCATCTGGGATAAAATTGCCACCAACATTATCTCTGTCTCTCTCTCCAGATCTTCTAGATTCTCAACAGGTAATGATAGTGTCCAAGCAAGAATTAAGTGTCATCAACAAGCTCAATAATGGGGAAGTCAGGCAGATATGCATGGGCACCATGAACACCTATACAGTGACCAACCTTAGTCCCAGCACACAGTATTACTTTGATATTTTTGTGGTTAACCTCCTCACCAATGCCAGTGCTGCCTACACTGGAACATTTGCAAGAACACTTGAGGAACCTGACCCTAAAGTTACTGAGCTGAAGGATGGGAAGATAATTCACCTCACCCTGGACAAGAAAAACTGGAAGTTCTACAATTTGCAATATCAAGCTAAACACAAGAGAGTCCAATTTACCTTTTGGTCTTGTAGTGGCCAAATATCGGTTCAGATAACAAGGAACCGTAAAATAGTGGCATCAGAAAACTTTGCAGGCCTGAGACTTTTCTCACTGAAAGGAAAACTAATGGACACATATTTGGTACAAGTGAGGTCAGTGGAACAGTCTAATACCTCTGTGAAAGTTCAAGTATCCTCTCACATCCACAAGCCCTTATTCTCAGCTCTACCAGACAGTTTAAAAATCAAGTCCTTTAGTAAGCTGAGGACCTGCAATTCTGTTACCATTGCCTGGCTGGGACCACAAAAGCAGAGCAAGTACTGTGTGTACAAGAAAAGGATTGAAGAAGATCAAGTCTGGACAGAGGTGAGGAGTACAGACAGGTGCTCAGGACCAGAATCTAGGAACAAATATGAGAAAGTGCTGTGCAAATATTTCTATGACAGAAATCTACAAAGAGCAGTTGCCACAGAGACCATCAAAGGGCTGGATGCAGGGACTCTTTACCTGTTTGGTGTTTGCCTAATTGGACCTTCTGGGATTCCAGTCAGGTATCACAGTAGAGTGGTGAAAACCAGGAAAAAATGTTGAGGATTCTTTAAGAAATGTGTGGTAGATGAATGCAGAAGAGAAAAGCACAACCATTTCCAATGGTCTGTGCAGTTCAAAATATGATAGAGCACAGAAAACAGTTTTTAAAGATGGAAGATTTGTCAGGAAAGAATTGTTTCAGCTGTCTAGAGAATTAGGCTAGCACTTGCATCTTATTTCCTATATAAGCTTCTCATCAAAAACAGTAGTCAACTAAATACAATCAAACATTTGTATTCAAGGAGCTTACCTTGGAAACTGCAAGAAATCAACTGGAAAGACATGAGCTAAAATGGATCTGAAATCAAATAATACGTGTTATTAAATGTCTTTCAAAGAACAGTCACCCGTTACATTAGAATACCACACTGTTTCCACTTTGTGTACCAGATTGCTGTTAATAAGGTAGTAAGAAGTCCAGCCAGACAGACTGTTTTTGACAGATTGACTTCTCCCTCCTAGCTGAGATGTATGCTCATGAGATTGAATTGACAGCTGAGTGGTATTGCTTTAGATCCTTATTAGACACAAAGATACCAGGTTGCTACCAGCCCCATGTTCTAGTCTAGTGTGAGAGACAGGAGACTCCCCAAAATAGCAGTTGTCCATTATCTGCATGTTTGCTTTGCATAGAAGTTGATTAGTTTTAAAGATAAATTTGATTCACAAAGTTTGGGCCTGGCAGTGGATCTGTATCAGAGTCTCCTTGTTTCAAAACAGTTTGCTGTTTATGTCCATATGGAGAAGGATTTCAGTATGGAATTTTTCAGGAAGGGAAAGATTTTGATCTGCAGTACTAGAGTGAATGCCCATTTCCATTCTCGTTTGTCTTTATTTATACTGTACATGTCTTGTATACACACTGGTGGCATGGAAACATTTCAGCTGGAGATGCTAACACTGCATATATCTGCCATGTATTTGTCTATTGACATTTAACATATTTTTTATCTTGGCAAACAGTAAACTGACATAATGCTGCTCTAAATGAATTTTCTTTAGTGCTTTAATAAATATAGTATTTCCTGCAGTAAGATAGGAAAAGCTGAAAATATTATCACCAATACCTTCCCGTCTCTAAAGAGGAATTTCCTGACCCCTTCAAATGACCAGACCTATGCAATTTTCTGCCTGGATTATTTTAATCTTATCAAAGAGCATATCTGAATGGGATCTGCCAAACCCTTCAAACCACTGCAAAGCTTTTCTCAGAGAATATGCTGGGTTTATACATTTGTTTTTTCTTTATTGTAGTATGTGTTAGACCCCGACTCCATGCGGCACCCAGCGACTAGGGAGATGACAATCCAATTGCTCATGGATCCTGTTACTCATTAGCCAGAGTTACACCAGCACACATTTCTTGCAACAGCTTTATTCAGAACGGAGACAGCTTTGGGAGAGCTCCCTCACAGACACAGCCTGTGAAAATGGGGAGCAGACCTGAAAATTAGTTCTTTTTACATTTTATACACTGTGGTTCATCCTCATTAACATTTACTCCACCTTGGTCCCTCCTTTGGTTCCACCCATATCTCTGCCTCTGTTTACTGTTTACTTCTTTAACATGTAATTGCCTATGCATTTCATTCATTTACATGCCTCTCTGCTAAGAGCTCATGCTCAAGACTTTGACCCCGGCTTCCTCTGGTCACTTGCTGGTTCTTTCTGATGTCTTGCTGACTCCTTCTTTATCTCCAAGGTCTTGCTTCTGCTTTATCTCCTGACAATAACTGGTGGGCTGCATCTTGTTCTTCTTACACCATATATCCTACACACTACCCCATTGTTAGGAAGCTGCTTGCTTAAGCATTTGCAAAGTTACTTTTAATATATCATCCTGCCTTGTGATCAGCAGCTCTGCTGAGACACAGAAAAAAGCCTTATTCAGCTGCAAATCCGGTGCTCCCCAAGATGCAAATATTGTCACCCTAACAGTATGGATAAAAAATGTCTATAGGAAAGCCTGATAAACAGATGTGTTTGTCTCAGTTTCTGTGCTTATCCAGTTTAAATGCTAGAAAAAGTAAACCATAAGAGATTTTTGAAAGGAAAAAAATCATTCAGAAAAAAAATTCATTTGTAAATATGCTCACTCTCACCTACCACCAGAAAGGATGTCAAACATGAACTCTTGGAATATCTACATTTTAAATACAGAGAAGCTTAACATGCTTAAAGACCTGGATATTTCTACAGAAAAATGATCTCTATTTGCTTTTTCTCTGAAATTAAGCAAAGCATTAAATTCCATGGCATATTAATTTATCAAACATTTTACGTAACAGAATTTCCTTTATATTAAAGGAGCATCAAGATTTCTACTTATTGTTAATTATTACTTATATTATAAGAATGCTCGAAGAAGTCAGTGATGCTCCACTGTACTGGATGATACACAAATGTACTTCATAAGACAGTTCCTCCCCTGAAGACTTTACAACTAGATAATTGTTGGCACTGGATTTATGACCCAGTCTTGATACCTTGTTCCAGGTGGACCCAAATCCTCAGACCAACCCTGACTTCTTCCATTTGACAGTAGGCAAATGTTATTGCTACACAGTAATAGCAGATAAGAGTAATGCAGGCAAGCTAACAAAGTAACACTTCCCCTTCCCAATTATCTACCCATTCCAGGGTTCCACAGAGGGATGGTATGCCTAGCCAGTACCTGAGCACCACTCTGTGGTTGTTTGCCTGAATGTCAGATGTCAGCAGTCTTGGAGGTTGAGGGCCAATGCCCACCTTTCCCTCCCCACTACAGTGGGGTGAACGAGACAGGCCAGTGGTGAACTCTGTGCCCAGGGCGGCCTCAGGATCCCCCATGATGCTCTGAAAATCCCTCCTTTTGTATTCTTCTCCTGATGACCCTTCATTTCCAGGCATCATTTATTGGTTTCCCTGTGGTCACCATACTGTCCATGTTCTGTTCCGTCAGCACAATTCTTTGTTCCCACAAACCCATCACATGCATACATCTTAATTTGTTAATTTATCAGCATCTTAATTTGGGCATCCCTGGCCTCCTAATGTGGTGAGTCCACCAAAACTGGAAATCCAAGATGCTTTGCAGTTGGTCACTGTGATGTAATGCCAATGCTGCAGGGTTCCTTATCTTTTGTTATGGCTTTTCAGGGAAAAATGAATGTTTTCAATTTCCCAAGATGTACGTGCCTGTTTGTCTGCTAGCTTCAGACAGAGTGTCTACTGAAAGACTGAGAATGTGAAGCTGTCACAGACAGACTTTTATAAAACAATTAACTTTTGCCATTCCCCTGCACTATTGTTCTAATTCAGTATTTACTCTTCCTACAAGCCAATTCCTAAAAGCAAATCTCTAAATATCATTTTCTGACTATCAATAATGACACAACAATGGGCAAGAGTAACAGTTGCCCAACAGTTTCTTTGGGCTTCTTATTTGTGAACACAAATATGTTCAACCCCCAGTGCACAAGTGTCAATACAAAGGACAACCCTAGTGTCGGTAGCAGAGTCGTGGCTTTAATTATGCTTTGCACAGCCAAAGGTAATTATATATTTTGAATAACAAAGTTTAGGGACCACATTCTTAGGAGGTTACAGAAGGAGAGAAGCCTCTTAACTGTTGCTATCTGAAGCTAGTCCTTTGAGGATTTGGGAGAAGGCATTCCCTTCACTTAAAAAATGTGCCACTGTTCATACCTGAGCCCATACCTGACCACGGTTACAACATAATATGGAAGATATCATTTCACTTACCAAGTGAATATTTTGCAATCCTTGCCCTTTTTTTATGGCCCTGTCCTCAAAAGTCTTGAAGTTATATCTAAATAATAAGCAACTACAGTTTACCTAGATGACATGCATGCATGCATGCATGCATGTTCTACAAATGTTTGTAATAACAATAGTAAGAGAAAGACTTAAGAAGGTCTACTTAATTGTTTCTAACCAACACTTAGAATACCACCCTTAATCTGCCACAATGTCTGTGGCTAGGGATAGACATTCAAAAAGCCTGAGCCTGAATTGATTCAATTTTCACAGTTTAGTCCAACCTGGCTAGACTGAACTGGTTTGCAACTGCACAGACATCCCCTCTGGACTGAAGAAATGCAGGCACATGCCTGCAATCGCTCAGGCTAGAAGCCAGGAAGTGCTAGAACAGCCCTCCCTTCCCTTCTATGATGCTGAATTGAGGGGGGGGGCATGACCAGGCCGCAGCAAAACGCTCTGATTAGGGAAGGGTTGCCCCCTCCCCAGCTGCTCCTGACCAGTGAGGCAGCCAGCAGGGAGTTACACAGCATTTAGTTAAATAGCAGGGAGTTACACAGGAAATAGCGCAGCATTTAGCACCCCATCAGGAAAACAAAAGCCTCTCCCATTAGTTCAAGCTCTTCTTAAACAACTTTTTCCAAGGAAAGAATGGAGGGACATTACCAGCTGACCTGCTGATTATCTCCACAAAGCCCTAAGTGAATACTGTCCTGTCTGCCTTTGTCTTGTCTGCCTTACATAGACACAGCATTAGCTAGCATACCACATGCTGGCTATGGTCCCTGCAGTGGGAAAGGGGAGGTGGGGAATCCCTGCTTGAGCAGGGAGTGGTGGGGGTGTAGGACAGGGAGAAGCCAGACAGACACTGCTGTACCTGCTGTCTCTGCTGGAACTCCAGCCAGGGAGCAGAGAGGATGGGCCAGCCTAGCTCTGGAGCAGACAGCCCACCCCAGGGCTGCAAAGCATCTGGGGTGCTGGGTGACTCTGGTTTAATTTAAACCAGGAAAGGGTCTGGGGCAGACATTACATAAACTGGTTTGACCCAAATCAGTTAAGTCTTATACTATGTGTCACGCCCAGATGCCAGTGCACCCTTGACCTGTGAGCCTGGGTTGGTATGACCGGCTTGGCGTGAGGGGGGATTTATGACTGGACAGATGGGTGTTAATGGCAAGCAGGAGTCAGATAGTCAGATGGTTTAAAGTGCATTGGTTACACAGAAAGTTTATTTTACTTACGCTACTGATGGCTTGCAGCGTAGGCAGAAGCAGTTGATTTTTTAGTTACAGCATGCAGATGTTCTGTCACCCAGTGATTACAGTGGGTTGCAGACTTGCTGAGTCCAGGTTTCAAACAGTTTATACAAATTACTACGGTCTGCAGATTACCGAGAGCTCTTGATGAGAGGGATGTACGAAAGATAAGATAAGACGAGCGAGAAAGATAAGACGACACGAGCCCGCAAAAACGGGGGTACTCCTGAATCAAGGTCGCAGGCAGAGAGATAAAGTTTGTGAATAATTTTTTTTACAAACTATTCTTTCTGGGGGTGTACTCCATTCCCTTGGGAATGCTCCGAGATCTCTGCTTTGGGCGGAAGTTCTTTCAAAGTTATAGGAAACAAAATAGCCAATAATAATACGCCTGGCATGAATAATTAACAGGTTGGCACTTGTGCTTTCTTTGTTTTCTCAAGCTTCATAAAAGGGGGCTATATTTTTGCTTGGGTGCTACTGGTCCTATTTGGTCACAAGAAGGCAAGCATAGTATATTATTTAATTTTACAACTTCACTAAAGTAGTTTCATTTTTATCTGGTCACTATAGGTACGGTATCTCTTTTTGACGTCACGGTACTAGGCTGCAATTTGTTCAAGGTTAGTGTCTCTCTCGTATGAGAGGCTCAAGTAATTTGAAATGAGGCACAGACAGGGGTGTGAATATGCAGCACTGTTACAAACTAAAAAATAATAGTGTGAGACTACAATTACAGAGTTTGTTGTGCTAGCCTCTGA